TCTGTCTGTCTGTCTGTCTGTCTGTCTGTCTGTCTGTCTGTCTGTCTGTCTGTCTCTCTCCTCTCTCTCTCTCTCCCTCTCTCTCTCTCTCGTTCTCCCTCCCTCTCTCTCTGTGGGAGTTTATCTCACAGCTGTAACAACATAGACACAAGAACAGCAGATGGGAGATTTTTCTATCTATATGTCAGCGTGTCTGTCTGTTTCTCTCCACCTCTGGCCCTTTCTCCTTCTCTCTCTCTCTCTCTTTCGCTCTCTCTCTCTCTCTCTCTCTCTCTCTCTCTCTCTCTCTCTTTCTCTGTGTGTTCAAAATAGTAGTGAAAGTGCTGTAAAAGCCACAGTTTAGCACAAGCCATGTATGTTTGTTTGTTCACCACAGGCGTGCACGTTAGAGCAGTCCAAGGCTTTCTTGGACCGCCTGGTTCGAGTCTCGGAGCTGCAGCTGCTGCAGTATGATGCCCTGATGGTCATTGATGACGTGGAAAAAGGACGTGAGTCTTTTGTGGCCTGGTGGTTTTGTTGTTGTTGTAATTGTTGTGGTTGTTGTTGTTTTTTATTTTTGTTTTTTTGCTCACTGATTTGTTGACTTTATCATCTCCCTCACCCCCCCTCCCCCCTCTCTCTTTTTCTCTCTCTCTGTCTGTCTCTGTTTATCTCTCCCTGTCTTTCTCTATCTCTCTTTGTCTGTCTGTCTCTGTCTCTGTGTCTCTTTCTCTGTGTGTCTCTCTCTGGGCAGTTAGCCAGTTGGCGGGTGCTCTGGTATGGTTTGCTTTTTTCCCCTATCAGACTTCTATCATCTGTACTTAATTGTGTTGCAAGTGCCGTGAAACTCTTCCCAAAGTATCTCTCTCCTATCTCTCTGATGTGGTTTGCTTGTTCTTGCCTATCAAACATCTATCATCCTTTTCTTTCCTCCTTTTATTTGTATGTTACTCTCTAGTAACATCTCTAAGCTTCATCATTTACCTGACCTAATCGTGTTGCTAGTGCCGTAAAACTCTTACCAAAGTCTCTCTGTCCCCTATTGAACATCTATCGTCCTTTAAATCTCAGCTCTAGTAACATCTCTAAGCTTTAGCTCTTACGTGACCTACTAGTGTTGCAAGTGCCCTAAAATCTCTGGTAATTAAGCTAAAAGTTAAACCGTTGATGACCATTATTGACCGCTGATGATGTCATCAGGTGTGGAGCCGACCCGCTACCCGACCAGTGAGCTGATCCGTCGGAAGAACGCCGGAGAACCGCTGGAGGATGAGGAGGATAAGGATGCTCTACCTAGGGGGAAGGCTAACTGGATCGGTATGTGTTGTTGTTGTTGTTGTTGTTGTTGTTGCTGTAGTTGTTGTTGTTGTTGTTGTTGTTGTGGTGGTGGTGGTGGTGTTATTGGTGTTGTTGTTGTTGCTGTTGTTGTTGTTGTTGTTGTTGTTGTTGTCATCATATATGATGATGATGACGATGATGATGATGATTATATTTATTATTATT